GCTGAAATACTTTCTCAAAGAGCCAGCTTGCCTTGCTCATTATAATTATTATTTTTTTCTTTCCATTTGGGTCATTTACATAGAAATTATAAAACACACAGTTTATGTACTACTAAACAGATGGTTCAGTATTCCTGGATTCTTTATATGGCTTTACCACACTGCACAGCCGGCTAATAGCTAATCACATGAAGCATAATGGTTTAAAAATGCTCAATAGTTCAAATGAAGGTCTAAAATATGGCAGCATTTATTTTGCGTTCCGACTACAGAATAATGAAACTTAGATTAAACCAACAAAAAAAACAGCAACTTGAGTGGAGCACTCGCTGGTGTGCAGTCCATCAGGAATACAGACAAAAGCTCAAACAAGTTGGCTCTGATTGTAACGTGCAGCATGAACAAAGCACCGTATAGCAGTCTTACACCTATCTATCTTCCACCCACACAGCAGGGAGAAAATAAAACAGCTACTGTGTGAACAATCTGCACTCCGTTCTCTCCGCTGATGAGCTGTTTCCCCGTCTGACAAAGCCCGTGGAGTCGGGCTGACGCCAGATGTCCCAGAATAATGGGCCTTTCTTTGTGTACCTGTTATCGCTTCGCCACTTTGAATAACGAAGCAATCTGAGCGGCTGCTACACGAGCCGTGATACGACGTTGATGTAGCACAATAAGAGTGGCAGCTGAGGATGATTATGGCTTTTAGACAGTGGTTAACAACACTTGTGGACCAAACCTTTTTCTATGATCAAGCAAACAAATATCAGAATAAAAGCAAAACAAACCAGGAAATGTTCAGAGCAAGCGTAAAGCAGTAGAGCATTTGACTCTCAGACTGCTTATGAAGAAAAGCACAATACTGCTCGTGAAATGCTGTCACTTGTAAAAACCATGCCATATTTCTGCACACTGTATAAACAGTGAGTTAAAGTATGCTGTGTGCGTCAGATAACAGAGGCACATTAGCAAAATCAAAATGTTATATGAAGGCGGGGCATAGTTACTACATGAGGAAGAAAACTGGTTTGCTGGTCCAGTGGCAGGATGTGTGGCTCATAAATGTATAATCAGAGGTTGCCTGGTCTGCTGACCTCACCTTTTCATAACTGCTGAGCATAAAGAAAAAAAATCCTTAAAAACTAACAATCGAAGGGAAAAATATACTCTATGTATTAAAGTATGAAGGTGTCAGAGGTGTTTCAGACGCCTGCTGTGCAAAGTCTAACAAACATGATGACTGCATGCAAATCCACACTCCTCAATTTGCAAATGAAATGAGATTATTGTATCCATGTTGCATATCTTTGTATAGCTGCAGCATATCATTTAGCTGAACATTATAGTAACCCCAAGATGGACAGTTCCAGTCTGGCCTGTTAATCTGTTCAGGAAGTTGAGCCAAAATCGGGGAGCAGTCCCAGCAGGCGACAGGGTGCACCCTCGTTTCCCCTGGGAAGAGTGGGCTCAAGGAGCTGGGGCAGCAGAAGCCTCGGATGAGCACAGGCACGGAAACTCCAACAAGCTGCACAGCATCCTAGGCCATCGCGGGCAAGAAAACCCAGAAACTAAAACAAAAAAAGAAGAAGAATGAAAAAAAGAGTCCCCCGGTGTGAGCCTATTCATAATCCTTTTTTCATCACCGAGGACCCCTCATTTTTGGACGGGGCACAAGAGGCAGCGGTGGAGGTGAGCTGGCACTTAGGCAACTTTTCAGAAGTACTTAAGGTTTTGTGAGGGTACAAAACCCTGTTTACTCTTTCCCTCCTAGGCTCCTGGACGTCTGATTGGCCAACATTTTGTTTTTAGCGTTTACATGGTAAAAAACGGAGATATTTTTTCAAAACTGCACGTGTGGACGGGATTTTTTTTTAAAACGAAAAGGGAAAATCTCAGTTTTCAAAAATACCCGTGTACGTGTGAATGTAGCCTCAGTGACTTGTAGCAAAAACAGGTTACATAATCGTTCGCGACACAAACTAAACAGGTACTGAGTCAAACTACCTTCAGCTAGGAACTGCGATTGAAGCCACAACCAATGGGAGTAAAGAAAACCACTGACTGGCATATATTGATTGGCAACCCTCTAAAAGAATCGGAAGAGTGTGTGACAAGTGACTTACTCTTTTTGTGGACAGGAACCAGTGCCACCACTTCCAGTAAGATAATAGCAAATACAGCTAAAGAACATTATGGAGGAAACAAGTTTACTAATAGACGTAAATTCATCTGGTGGTCAGAAACACAGCTCCACAGCTTTTACTCTCCTGGAACTGTGTTTCCTTACAGAGTTGGTGGCAGGAGCAGACAACGCCCGACTGTCTGCTAAAGTAAAACACAGACAATGTAGCAAATTTGTAACAACTTAAGTGGTCACACCAATTTAGAATACTAAGTTATACTAAGCTAACCTGAACTATAGCTTAGGTTAAATTAAATCGACTTTCTCAACAAGCGTATAAGCTACTGTACATGAGTGATATGCAGTCTGAGGATCAACGACTGCCCGAGGCACTCATATACTGCAGTTCTCACAAAGTCATTTAGCCTAATCATATAATAGTGGATCCAGGGAAGGTTGCTGGTTACCCGGAATATTCTGCAATTTATGGACACATGAATTCACTACTATAAAATCAACAAGGCCTGACAATTTTTATGCACCATTTGAGTGCCAGTATTGTGGCATACATACAAATGGTCTGCTTAAAGATCCCGGGCCAGAGTGTACCTGCTCCAAATGCAATATATAAGACTCAGCTTTGGAAGGGATCTCGTAAAGAATGTACTTTTAAGACTTGAAGCGTTGTAGGCAGAAAATCCACCACAAACTAAATGCAACAGATAAGGATACACAGACACACTAAGTGATGAGTTTATGCTCTTTTTACATGTTTATACTATAGAAGGGAAGGGGATAAAGACTTCTAGGCATGTCTGCCAGCTGAACTTCATCACAGCATCACCTGAAGCAAGCAGGCTCCATTCAAATGTAACATACAAAATCCTGCACTGTCTTCATCCATCTTAACCTGTGCAGGTGGTCGGACATGAAACCAACCTTTAAACATATATATATTTGTCTGTGAACTTCAAGTCTGGGAAATAGACCTGAATATCTTAGACTTGCTGGCTTAGTTTCTACCTTTAAATCCTATTAGCTGTTCTTTTTTTAACATATAAAGACTTTCAACGAGCTAGTTTAGTGTCTTACTCTCTTCATTCTTAAATTGTTATGCTGCATTGTTTATTGCATTGCTTGTGCAACACCTTAAAACTTGTATTATTCATCCAAAAGGGTCTTATGAAATCGCTCACTGTGGAATTAACTTCCATCAGCACCAAAGATGAGCTTCAAGTTTCAGTACAATGTGTGTGATTTTGTTCTGTTTCGTGCCCTTTTGTCACAACTGAAATTATTCATTATTCCCAAATTTGTCTGTGCGGGATACCTGTAGGAAAATACAGAATACAGAGAACTCTGGTGAAGGTATTAAAATGTGACACTGATATACTGATTCAATTTATATCACAGTCAACTTTTAACTTCTGGACTTGACATATAAAGGATAAGCCAGAATCCAGTCGCCCAAAATAGTCTTGTTTTGAATCAGCTTCTTGTTTGGAGATATTGAGTGAGCATCTTGATAAATAGGCTGGATACAGAAGAAACCTTTTTTTTTTTTTTTTTTAATTGTCCTTTCCTGTGAGTAGCCCGGTGGTGGAACAATGGCAGCGGAGTATCCCGAAGGGACCCCACAAGTTTGGATTAGATGCTCTTCCTAAATCACTCGCAGCCACATGCACCTATATGTGGCACGATATTCCTCCATCGTGAAAACCAAGTCCCCCACATCATACTCCAGATCAAAGAGAGCTGCTGATGGTGAGGAATGAGTTAGCGCTCATCCTACATGCCAAGACGGAACTACAGAGGCTTCTTAAGTAATGTTTGAAGAGCAGCTGCCGCGGCTAGTTCAGAGGGGCCGGCTGCCATGTTGGACGGTCTCCAACAACAGCAAGAACTGTAATCGTATCCTTGTTGATCCTTTCTCTGCTTTGTAGGACAGTCTGAACACAGAGCTACAAATGAACACAGAAGCTAACCACTTTTGTTAGGTTAAGAAGAAAACATTGACTGTGATGCACTTATTGTTAGCAGTAAAACTCTGGAATTAACGTGTTACTGGATGGAAATGAACAATGCGATCTCTTTAACTAGAAAGATCATTCTGGATACTTGTTAAACTTTATTCTTTCCTTCAGCAAACTGAGTATTTTCAAAACTGTATCCATAAGTAGTGCCAAACACTGAGTTTGTTACCCTTTTCTATCTCTTCTTGTTCAAAGTTGGTGTTCAGAATAATGTGTAAATTGCCAAAAACAACAACGAAAGTACAAGTTCGGCTCAGAAGCAACAGAACCTTTTAACTTAAGTATTTTTGCTGTTCCAAACTTGTCCTGGTATGACCAGTGGGCTAATGTCACAAACTTACTGATAATTACGCAACCATTCTGCCTGTACTGCTGTTGTCACAGCTTGTAGCACTGATCATCAAGGAAATAAAAACATACTTAGCCTTCACCTTAGAGCCTCTGCTCTGTTTGATAAGAACATTAAGTAGAACAGGTAATGAAGGACATGGTTCACACAGAGTAGTCCAGCATTCCTGTGTTGGAGAGAGTGCTGCCTGTCACATGCACCATGTTTAATGAAATTAACTCTGCTTTGAACAGAGGAGGAGCTGGAGCCACGTGCGCTTTTGACATTACACGCTCAGTTTATCTGAGCAACGACAACTGCCAGTGAAACCCAATTCTCTCTGTGGTTTCTACTTTTAGAGCAGGAAACATGGGGTGAGAGGTTCAGGGGTTGTAAAGCACTGAAAGGCTGGAGACGGACAGAGCAGCAGCTAGTTAAACAGGTCACGGAAAAGTCCCTGCAGGGCTGACATTCATCTGCCGCTACAGGAGAAGAAAGCACAGGAGACAACAGACTGAGTTTGGTTTGGTTTTTTCTTGCTTTTTTGTTTTTTTTAATGGAATGTATCTTGTATCGAGGTATGAAAATAGATCTCACGTTGAAATAAGAAATTGAACAGTGGCTACAAAGGGCACAGCTATAACTGTGTGTAATGATGGCAACAGGAAGGAATGTCAGAGAAGCATCACACCAGTTGCATTAGATAAAGGGCAAAGCTGTGACCCTGTGTGGGAGATGACAACAACACGGAGACATGTGCTGGTCTGCCGGTGATACGCTGGCAAGTGGGGATAGCAGAGGGAAACTGCCAGCTAACAGGAAACGACATGAGCCACAGTGAGATAAAATGTTTCCTGACAGCACGATATTCCTCCATCGTGAAAACCAATCAAGGACATTTCTGAGCCCATTACCCAGCATGTCCCTGTAAATGTTGCCATGTACCACACCGTTTCAAAGTATTATCGGTCTGTTTGCTTTCACATGAAAAGTATGTCATGCCTATTAAAACTTTGCAAACGAGTGTTGTGGTTTTACAAACATTTCTCAGAGGCAGAGCTGCTACAGAGACAGAAAGAATCTCAGTGGTCATGATAAATGTCTGTTAGCACAGCGAATGACGGTGCTTTAGCTTTACTTGGATGGCTGGCTAGCTTAAATTCACAAACTCCTATCAAAATACAGCTAACTGGGAAAACAAAACCTATCAGGTCTAAATGCCACAATATTTTGTTGTGCAACATGGACATTAGAGAAACATTTGTACAACTACAATGCTTGTTGATACATTACTTACTGATAGTAAGTATCACAGTGAACAACTCAAAATCTGGACCTGCAGCACTTTTTTCAATTTCTCCGTCTTTAGTAGTGATTTGAACAAATGGTAAAATGGTAAATGGTCTGTATTTGTATAGCGCTTTACTAGTTTTTACTAGTTGATTCTTTCAGTTACAAAGTTTCTAAAAGAATCAAATTCTGATGACCATTAAGTTTTACACGGACCAAGTAGGTTTAACGTGACACATGAAACCAATTGCAAGTGGAGAAGGTAACATTGCATTTGGGGAGACTATGAATATGGAAATCAAAAGAGCTGGCATTTAAAATAGGTCTTTTTTTATGTATAAATGTCAATAATCTCTGTATGAGTGTCTGTGCAAAGTTTCGTTCAGATCGGCCTGCCCCTGAAGGAGGAGGTAGGGTCCATACAGACATACTACAATCACTATAGTAATACTGTTAACCCAATCATGCTTATGTAGTCACTTAATACGCCAAGTAATAAGGACTTGGATTTCCTATGAACCTGAAATTTCAGAAGTTGGTAAGAAACTTAATATAACTTAAAAGCCACATGAGCTCTCTGCAAAGACTCGCTTGGCCCCTAACAGGACAGTAAAACTCAAAAACAGAAGCTTTACAATCTCTGATTCCACACAACTCTGAGAACGTTGGGACTGTCTGCTGTTTCTTTAAGTTTTCCTTCTCTGTTTCAGCCATGCCAGAAAAGATTTAGCACAACCACTGAACCTGTCTCAGATTGCAGCTCAGATTCTGCAAACTGGTGTTGTAACTCACACACATCCACTTTACTTTGCACTAATAATCTTCTGCTGTTACTAAGCTCTGCTCTGTAACCACTGAAAACCAGCTGAGTGTGATAAGCTAGCATCTTCTTTAGTTTTAAGACTCACATAAAGCAAAGATATCAGACAACTTCTGTATCTATGAATGCAGCAAAAAAACAAAAACAAAATTACGATCGATTTACACCGTAAAACACTCCCATATACTGCCGCTATACAAATGAAGAGCGGAAAATAATGTTTGTATATACTGAGCAGGTATATCAGCTTATAGACTCCCTACAGATCTTCAGTATTGTGAGTTATAACACTGCACAAGCGAAAAAAAATTGTTTTGAAATGAGTCTTTGGTTCAGTTGAAAAATAAAACAATGGACAGTGACACATTCTACTAATAGTGAACTGGTTTGGCTAACCTACGATATCCATCCTAATACATATGCAAGCTTATTTCCAATGGCCTTGTAGGCTATGAACCGCAAAGCCACTCCTTCCTCTTCCATTTATCAACAATGTAACATTTTTATAGAAAATATATATATACACTTCTAATAAATAAGAGATAAACCCATCGCATGGTAGAACACAGCTCCTTTTTTCTCACATGCTTTTTGTCCATGAGTCTTTTGTGAAACAAGTCTCTGTACTGAAAAAGGGCGAGGCGCAGGTCTGTGGAAACCACCGCATGGAAGAGGGGTTCTCCTGGAGAATGGAGGCTCGGTGGGGAAGCGGCAGGGAGAGATGCACCTCGGGTTCAGATTCATCCACCAGCTGAGTTAACCTGCAGATGCAATCAGTTAGTCAGGCTATTGCGCGTGTATGCATTATTTATATCATTATGCTTTTGCATGGAAAAGAAAGAAATAAACACAAATAGCAAAATATACAAAAAGTCATATTTCTGCTGAGTTTTTCTGCTGTCACATAGTCTAACAGTATTAGCATCAGCAAATGCTATAATCTCCAAATAATGTCCTCAGTCTCCTCCTCTGCAGTGCACTTAATTAAGACCACAGAACAGCAAAATCCTGATCTATGGACATTTACTGTGGGGGAAGGATCGCTTTTGAAATCTATTCCTCTTACAAAACCAGTGAATGTGTTTTAACAGCGGTTTGGGTTTAAACTAAAGATAATGCACTCTAATGACTCTTCAGTAAGAGGGTTTGTGCCATATTTGTAATTGATGCGGATTATTTTTCACCGTGAATTGGGAAAAACAAACATCTGTGTTGGTTCAGGCTGGCTTTGAGTGTTTGACTGGACCAAAAGCTGCACGTGCTCCGTCCAGCTGCTCCTACAGAACACTTTAAGACGCATTTGTGGGCTTCACGTCATGTGCGCGCGCACCTTCACGAATACGCCTGCAAAGTCTGCGCATATCTACGCGTAATTTGGCACGCGATGTTTCACTTCAGCTTTACTTAAACTTTAGTGCATGAATCTTTACACCAGTTTAAAGTTAGCTTAAATTTAGATTTAGACAGATGGACTACTATTTTAAATCGCACACGAGTCTTTCGGTTATGTATGGATGAAGTGAATTGTCGGAATTACTTAACTGTAAGTGATTATGTCAGGGGCATCATTTCATTTTACGGTTATCAGAGCGAAAGGTAGGTTTTGGTGAGAAACCCTTTTATAAAATGTCAAACCTGCCGTCGAAGTCTCTTTTCTTGCGAGCGAATTCACCTCCACGAGGGGGGGTACAAGGAGGCCTAAAGCGCGCGGGGGGCTCCTAAACTTTTTTTTTTGTTTCACCAAAATAAATCCTGGTTTCGTGGGATTAGTTGGACCACTGACAGTAAAACACGCGTCCCTGCTCTTGGTTCAAACATCCAGAAGATAAACGCTTTTTAATTTAAAGGGTACCCCCGGGTGGTCCGCGGACCCGGGGGAGCCCCCTCCACCGCTTTCTCCTGTAGCTGTCTTACCGCAAATCGTGCACCAGTGTCTGCGGGACTCGCCGCAGGTCACGCTACGTTCGGAGAGCTGCGCACGGTCTTTTGTCCGGGCATCTGCACCACGAGCAGCTGCTGCTTCTGCCGGGTGGACTTGACGGCCAGGATCGCCTGCCGGTTCTTGTACTGGACCATCTGCAGAGTGATCTCCGCGTTCCAGCCCTCGTCTTGCGGGCACCTGAAGTCGATCTCCTTCCCCTCCGTCATGACCACCGTGAAGTACACGTATTTACCCTTCCGCTCCACGCAGTCCACCGTCTTCATGTTGGCGAAGTGGAGCTCCTTGACTTTGCCCGCGTCCCCGCCGCCGCCGTGATGCTGCTGGTGGTCGTGTTGCTTGGGCGGCAGCAGCAGCACGCCGTCCTCGGTCAGGACGCAGTGTTTCTTCTTCCAGAGCTGCAGCAGCCCGTCGCTCCGTTTCTCCAGCAGACCCTCCTTGAACACTTTCCTCCCGTTTTCCAGCATGTTTACCCGGACGCCTCGGTGCTCCTGCCCTTCGTGGCTGCTTCACGGACTGGACGCGTGTTTTACTCCCAAGCAGGTGAAAAGCATGGGATGCTGCTTGTGACTGCGGCTCCAAGAAGCGCTGGCTGTAGTGAGAAGGCTGCCAGCCTGCCTGTCTGCTTGCGGTGTTTGTGTGTTGTGTGTGTATATGTGTGTGTGTGTGAGAGAGAGAGAAGTGGGTTGGGGGCGGGAGGGGTCTGAAGAGGTGCACCGCCCCCCTGAGTAACATCCAGCCTCCTGGGATGAGCACAAAGCAGAGTACTGATAACGTCAGTATTTTCAGTTTAGTATGGAAGAAGAGATTGAAAGTCTGCCAGTATGTGCAGACGCATCAGAGGTGCTTTAAGTTGCACTGCGCAGAGCTGAGATTTCGCCTTCATGCATAAACACTGTAACACCGCCTAGACTGAAACGCAGGCAAATTATTGTAGTCAGTCATTCAGATTCACTGCCCTCCAAGTGAATCACAGTGACAGTAAGCACCTGCAGCCTGCTTTACATGCACTCAGTTTTCATTTGCATCACTACTGCTGCCCTTCACTCTCCATTCAATTGACCTTTTGGTTCTTGTGTGGGGTTCTGTGTGTGCTCATGTTCAGTTTCTATTACAAACCGCACTCCCCGGGGGACATGGTTTCAAATGTTGCACAACTGCGCCATCTGCTGGAACAAGCACTTCATAGGCCACATTCCCAGTGTAGTTTTTTTTTTTTTATTCAGTGTGTTTTGTTGGTAATCATAATGAGTGGGTTATTTATAACACAAAGAAATCACCTGCTTTTCAAGTATGATGGCTTCATTATAACCAGTCCAGTTCTTTTTTGGTCCCTTAAATGACATTTATAAAACTGCTGTGATATTTGTTATTCAGAATTTCTGACACTCTTGGCCAAATCTGTTTTGACAAAAGACATTTTTTCATGTCAATGAGACTTTAACAGGATAAATGAAGGAAATACAAGTCACTTTCCCAAAGAACAGGTATATTCAAGGCAGTAAATGAAGCCGACTCACGTGCATAAGACAGTTTAAATTGGAACGCTTATTTTAAACACAACACTTTGTCAGGACCATTTGTGATATTTTATGATGCACGACTACAAGTTTAAAAATAAGTGTCAGGGCATGCAAATATACTTTGATGGCAACCTAATAACCATGCTGTAGTTTCCGGGTGATAACAAGCAAAGCATTGTGTTGATGTGACAGATTGAAATATTCTACAAACAAAAACTTGATGGGGAGGAGAGAGAGAAAAAGTCAGCCATCACATACATGTTTAACCAATTTATTCATGAACATACACGTACAGTTATTGAGTACATTAGTATTTTGTAGCATAGCATTTTGCCTTGACAACAGCTGCTCAGAAGGACGCCCCCACAGAAATCCAGTCAGTCCATTTCCAATGAACATGATCTGGACACTCCCTGCAAAATGCCAAGTACCCTGGATCTCCACAGTGGACATGATGATGCCCCAATGACAACCAACAGATGGCTGTTCTCACAACCGAGGGGAGAGAAAGGGTGGGGGACGCTAAAGGACTGGGGGGAGCAAGGCTGCTGTTACATTTCAGTTCCTCTCCTGGCTTTAAGTATTGCTCCGACAACCTTTTCCAAGGCATTCTGGGTAACAAAGGAAGCAGGTTTGGGTGGGCAGGGTGGTGGGTCATGAGCCAACACAATGGCCTTATCACACTCCCCCATTTCTTTCACAGTGATAAAAATGAACCGTGACCTCAGCTACTGGGCTCAGGTTCACATGCGACATGAATTGGTTACATGATGGGGGTGAACAAACCGAAGAGGGAAAAAGTGAGGTGAGCCCAATCTTGACACTCCACCCCTCCCCTTGTCATCCACCGTGCTACATCTGCCCAACACTGTTCCTATAAAGCTTCCCTGAATGGGACTAGTGTGCCTCCCTCGACAACAACGGTAATGCACTTTAAACCAAATAGCACAACTTGAACTCTGCAGAGCGGGGCTACAGCAGCACCCCCTCTCACATCCCCCCAGGTATGGGGTGGGAGGAGTCAAAGGGCTGCTCACATTGAATAATTGGACAGGACACCACTGGTACACCACACAAGTAACAAAGTGCTATAGAAAAAGACGACAGCCACACTACTGCGAGCCTTCGAGGAGCCTGAAGCGTGAGGTTACTACGCCATCCTGACAAACTGTCTCACCCCACCTTCCAGAGTTTTCTTAAGATAAGGAATGTTCGAGAGTCGGCTGTAGAGAGCCACAGGAGCGAAGAAGTCACTGCAAACGTCAGTTTTGATATCATTTTAACAGTCCGTCCGGAGGAAGAATGGCAGACTCTTTAAGAGGTTCACTAATGGGGCCAGCCAGTCCGTTTACCGGAATGTTTAAGCGGAAAGCAGTGGAGCACAGGTGGCACAGGAATTCCCAAAGAAATTGTGGGGGAGTGGGAAAAAGAAAAGTCAGGTGAGGGGGTGGCAACTGTGGATCCCACAGAATAAACTGGACTGGACACTCAGGTGCAGCTAACACATCCATCCTGTCTGGAAATGCTACAGTGCTTTGTGAGTTCTCTTTTAAGTGCTCAAGTCCCCGCTAAGAGTTTAGAAAACAAAAGCTAAAATAAATCACTGGGACAACCTGGAATTTAGCTTGGAGGAGAGGATATATAGATTGGTGTCGCCGCAATGCCAGTCTAAACCACAGCTGTTGTCTAAGAGCAAATACAACAAAAGACTTCACAAGAACCCAAACTAGTTTAGCAGTGAAGAAACAAGTTCATGCTTTTTGAGGGAGGTTATCTTCCTGCAGTCTAACTATTGTACAGAGAAGGAAGAGAGGGGAAAACAGGTCTAGTAAAATACTATGTATATCGAGCCACACTGCTCCCAGTATATTACCATGAGTTTTTGTAACAAAAATCTTGAAACCTTTTTTTCTCCAAGTTCTCTACCAAGAAAAATACAAAACATTATAAGGCGGTAAGTAACTATTTTTTTATTTTTTTTATTTATATATTTCTTCTTTTGAGAAGCTGTTACAGTGCAGTTGATCCTCGAGGCAGCCGGGTCAGGCTTCACTGCTGCTTGCACTCAGCTGGGGGGGCTGCATCCTTCTGTAAGAAACAGGATGGTGGGTGTTAAGATGAAGGTCGCTCCATACGGACTCATTCAAACGGCACGTACGCAGTCACGCCACTCCACCACTCAAGCAGCTACAAACTCAAACTTCTCACCTCAGCTATTTTTAAATGCAACAGAAATGACAAGGATGTGATGACTGACACATTCACATTAGACAGACAGCAGTATGAAAATACTTTTTGTTAAACAGTATTGATGCAAATAAACATCAGGCCAGGGATTCTTTAGGGTGCTGGTGAGACCATTTGAAAGTGACATGACTTTCAGAGGATCGAGTGCACTCCCGTGGGAAGCTCCAGCAGCAGGTTAGCTTAGCAGTAGGCTGGCTCTGCTAAGCTAACATTTTTTTCTAATTATCATATGCAACTTGTGACCTTTAAGTGCTTCATATAAATCTTTCCCCATATGTCTTTGTATCAGCATGAGGCAAAATAGTGACAAACCTTAGATGGCCATTTCAAGTTTTTCTTCTGGAGTGTAAGTGTAAGAGCACTCATGATGAAAGCTAAGCTGACCACAGGTGTGAGGGAGATAAAGTGCTTAAATGGATAAAATAAAGCCCGATGTGGATGGCTTGGAGTTTTATAGTGCCCTGAGCGAGCTGTAGGTATTGCAAGTTTCTTTTACACAGCTAGGAGGTTCCTGTCATTTTTACTTTACTGCAGTCGTGACTGGGAAACTTCAGGGGGCTGTGCGCTCATGTCTGAGTAAGGACCACTTCCCCACCCACCAGCCTCTACTGCACAAAAACCATCAGCTGCCAGCATCCCCAACATGCCAGCCTAACATGCTAGTTTCAGCAATATTACGGTTCCTGCTTTAACGCACATTAGTTGGCATCTACCAGGAGCATGTCAATCTTATGCAACTCTTAAAGCACCCTCAGACATCTTTCAGCACTCGCATGTTACTAAGCACTTCAGAAATCAGTGTGAAGGGTTTCCAACATCATAGAATACACTTTGATTCTCTTATTGTCAGCTGTGCCAAAGGATTAAAGGATTATTCTGTTCCATTTATCAGCACATTCATCCAGTAAACACATTTCTACTCGTCTACTTGATGCATTCTGAGCAACCAGGAATGACAGGTAAAGGTAATTCCTCATGAGATAAACAGTTTGCTCATTTTTCTGAGACTTAAATGTTGCCGTTTGAGAACGCCGAAATGTATCTTGGTGCCTTAGGAAATGACAACTTTCAGATCTCTCTGAAACATTAACGACATGATAGATCTCATTTTAAGACGAGCTGGTGGATCTTCTTGATGGGGTGTGTCAACAGAACAATCTGCTGTCCTCAGTTTGACTTATGGTGAGGAAAGAAACTCGCTCAGTAATCTTCAACAAATGCAGACAAATACTGGAGTTTCGAGGCCTCCATCACTGTGTGAGATAATCTCATAATGAGTCCTGTGGAGGACAAAATAATAATGATTGTTCACTAAAACAAAAAAGAAATCAGACATTTCTGTGTAACTTGTTGATTAGAGGCTGATATACCAACATCCAACCAGCTAACTGCCAGAGATTCAGTGACTGAAAATTTAGCTTCAGAATCTCCGCTGGTTAATTAAATTAACAATGGCTGGGGTATATTTTTTTTTTAAACCAGCAAAGTTGAATAATGGGACTCTGTATCCACAGTACAAACTTGGGAGAGACCCAAACATCTGCCATAGGAGCCCATTTTCCATTAGCCCTTTCAAAATAACAAATGTCGACACTTTAAACATAAACTCAAGGACTTCAGATCAAATCAATTAGCTGCCAAATAAATGAAACACTGGGGCAACTTAAGGTTTAAAACCACACAGAGGATCATTAAGCCCCCGGCACACTCAGGGTGGGACATCCTTGGACATTACACACTTGCAGAGGTGATGATGGCACGCTGCAGCTGTTCAAGGCTGCTCTTCATGGCCTGATGCCACACACATTACTACAGAGTGAGGTCGTTGCTGCCACCGTTCAACACATGTGGCTTT